CATATGAAAATCTATAATGCCCCCAAATCCCAGACCTTTGTTTTGGGCAGCTCTCCATGGTTGTTGATGCAGAAATAAGGGATTTTTCTGGGTAGTGATGTTTTTGTTTGGTTTGTTGGGACTTTTTTGGCTGCCTGAAAAATATTGGAGTCCTAAAAATTAACCTATGCTATACTCCTGTTGGTTTTCCATGGCTAATTTTGGGCTCAGTGAACAGAGCTGGTTAGCAACATTTTTTCAAAGGAATGACTGAGAGTGCCCCCAGCCAGGAGGGCAGATTTGGGTGCCAACAGCATATATTCTCTATTTGTTTCCTTTGTATAATGCTATCATAGAGGACCTTCAGGCTTTTTCATTCTCCTCATGTGGATGCTCACAGATGGTACCTGTACTGCTGCTGACAGTAGATAATGTTATTATGTTATAAATTCTGTTATATCTATCTTTTGTACATATATTTGTAATTTTTATATTACATATAAACATATTTTTATATACAAATATAAAAATCGTTTATCTGTGAACCCCAGGCAGCAGCCAAGCCCACGCCAACCCCTCACTCCCTTAAGGTAAGATGGGAGAGAAAATCAGAAGGCTGATAGTGAGAAAGCTCATGGATTGTGATAAAGACCATTTAATAACCAAAACAAAGTAGAACAAGGAATTAATTTCCTATTTCCCATTGCAGGCAGGTGTTCTGCCATCCCCAGGAAAGCAGGGCTCCATCCAGGACTCCATCAGGGTTTTCCATGATATTACTTGGGAAGACAAATGCCAAAAACAAAACAAAAAGAATGGCACTGGCAGGAAACAAGGAAAATGTTATTTTATACAAAGCACAATATGAGACTGTTTTTAGTTCCATAAAGCATGTAGTAAAGTTAAAATTATTTTATATTGCATAAAAAAAACCAAAGAGGAAATGTGAGAACTTTAAATTAGCAAAGTTTCCTAAAGTAAGTTCATATTAGAAGTGTAGTAAAAACAATATTTATTGAGCTGTGTATTGTTATCAAAGAGTGGAAGTAACAGGCAGGCTTGTCATGCACTGTTCATTTTGCTCTTTAGGTTATTGCCCTTTTTTTCCTTTTTCTTTTTTTTTTTTTTTTAGTTAAAAAATACGGTTGTTTTATTGTGCAAGATATTCTTGATGTCGATACTCGGTTTCTTTCTTTGTATTAACTGCTCTGAGAGGCCTGGCTGGGCTCTTTGGATGCTACAGCAGTGCAAATGATTAATACAAGCACTGCTGGGAGATTATTACAGCAAAGGCAGCACCAGATTATGGAGAGAAGGGCAGTAATAGCATCCAGGAATTCCTGAGCTTTCTGTTCAGACCAGCCACCAGCTCTCCTCAAGTAAATTGCTTCACATCTTGCTGCTCTTATCCTCATTACTTAGAGAAAATAATACTTTCTCAGTGTAGTGTAAGGTGACTATAGATAATAGAGAACCTCTGTAAGTCTTTAAATGGAAGAAAGTGTTATTATTAGACAGGTTTGGTTCTTTTTACTCTCATGCTTGTCTTTGTCTTAAATCTTATTTGCAGGGGAAAAAAATCCACATTACTTGAGAAATCACACTAATTGTCTTTTTCAGGAATTGGACTGGTATTGTCTGTAGCATTAGACTGGCATTAATAACGTGGAGTGTGGCTCATAGGTGGGAGCTACTGCACACAGTCTGTGTGTATGGCCTGGTGGAAAAGAGCAATCCCTTCAGGGTGAGTGGATAACCAGTGAGAGCAGTGCATCCTGAACAGTCCATCCAACGTTCTGCCCACGTGACAAACACTAAATCAAATATTTTGTGGTCAGCTGCAGAGCAGCACAAATATCCTCTCCTGATTTGCCTTCCCTCAGTCCCCAAAAGGATTTTGTACCACCACCAGAGTGGGTATTGTGAATTTGAACAAATGCATATGTTTTTCTTCTGCAAAGAACTCCCATGTACGGTTTCTAATTAAATGACTTTAATCATTCCAATTCAATCAACCTACATAAACATCAAATATCAAAAAGGAATCTCTGCTCTGTAGTCCTTCGCTGCCTCCCCAGAATTGTTCTCAGCGATATAAATGATGTTTGTTCTCCTGTTACTGCATCTCCAGATAATGAGCAGTTTTATTATAGCTGAAGCATTATCCCAGCATGTATTTGCAAGAAGTATATGACAATGAAATAGTAATTTTTCATTATTTTTCTTAATATCTTTAGACCATCTATGCATCTGATAAATATTTATACTCAGCTTTGTATAGAAATATGTTCCTCTTTTCTAAATTACCCTCCACTGCAGTTGCTTTTTATGACATTTTTTTTTTCCTCATTTTATCCATCATAAAGCTGTTTGTAAGGTCATCTCAGTATTTTGCACGAGCCCTTTTTCTTCTTTATGTTAGTTGGGAATGTGTGCTTTGGACAAAGGAAGCATTATCTAGTTAGGGTAATTTTAAATTTTACTTTAGATCTATTACAGACTGCTACAAAGTATTTTATTTTCTTTTAATCTGTATTTTGGTGCTAAAATTATAATGATACTTCCAGAAGCATTACTTAATGATCTTGTTTTCAAGGAGACTGTATCATAAAAAAGGGTATCATGAGATATTCAAAATTGTTTCTCACAAGATTTGTTCCTTTTTTGTTTGAATGTCCCCCTATCATACAATGCTCATTACAACTAATTATAGAAAAATCTTTGTTGTAATTACCCTTGGATTTATGATGTAGTTCCCAAAAGGGGAAAAAAAACCAAACAAACAAACCCAAACCAAATCCTCTATTTGATTATGTTGTTTTCTGCAAAAAGAAACTGTGAGGCAGCAAGTTTGGACAATCTGGGAGAGCGACTGCAGCAAAATACTTTGTGTAAGTAGTGCCTTATCACTTTCAGGGATGAAAAAAGGAGAATAAGAGATTGGAGTGCCAGAGGGATGTGTGTGAGGCTTCTCTTTGTCCTTACTTTTAAAACTATATCCTATTTCACAGCAAATATTAAATATGAGGCCAGTTCTCCTGATGTGGGAATTGTTTCCTTCTACTGCTGTTATATTTATGTTGGTGATTGTGAGATGGACAATTCACGTGAAATGAACTCTCCTGTTTTAATTTTGGTCTCATCTAAAAATAGAGATTCTATATCAGAAAAGCATAACAGAAAATAATGAGATGAAACATGGAAAGGAAATACTAAGCAGCAAGAGAAAGACCAGCTATTATTCTTTTTTAAAAAATCTTATCTCTATGTAGCACTTAGCACTAATTATGAGGAAATAAAGACATTGCCCTCTAAAATCTTGACAGTTAAAATCCAGCTGTTTGTTGCTGCATCCTAATCCTTCTTACCTTGTAGATTTCTGGATTGGTGGAATTTTAATTTAGTGGGTGTTTAGTGAATTTATTTGCAGAATTGTGAGTCTCCCTGTCACAAATCTCATTAACGTAGATTAAGTGTGAGGGAACACTGTCTTAGTGACCACAACAGGCTCACTGGTACATATTTCTTGACTGCCTCTTGTTCCATGCAAGGAAAGAGTCGTTGGTGATCTGGGCAATATAGAAAATATACGTGCGATGGATCTGTTTTCTTTGTAATTTAAGACAGTAAAGATGTGCGTCTTCACTGCAGATCTTTTCAGGCAATTTGAAGTGCAAGATGCACATATTTTAAGCCTCTTTGTGATAACCCTCTGTATTTTTTGTTAATTTACTGTTGAATGTTTGGATTCTCAGGCATTTGTTATTATCTTTTCTTCTCAAGTGAACGTTAAACATGGCCTTGCACAAACCTGGGGATGTTAAGAGTAATTGGCAGTGTTATTGATATTTGCAGGCATGCACTGTTTCAAAGGATGGCATTATAATGAGTCATTTTTCACTTAATCATCCTTTTTTCCTCTGCCAGTTTAGGCCAAGTTAACTCCACTGATGGCTAAATGAGAATTTGAACCTGTATTTTTATTGCCAGTGGTGTCAGAATTCATATGAAGGTATGAATATGAAGCCTTTTATATACTGAGTGGAAAAATACAGTGCAGCGATAAGCTACTTGTTTACCTGGTGTTCTTGGTATCGAGAAAGATCATAGAATCATAGAATTATAGAATTAACTGGGTTGGAAGAGACCTCCGAGATCATCAAGTCCAACCCTGGATTTAAAAATTCCCAACAGGTGGAACAGAGCTTGTTGCATTTGCCAGTGTATTTCAAGGCTTTTTTAACTGCTGTAAAGAAAAGCCATTTGTTTCAAATCTGTTTTCAAACGGAGCACAACATTAGCTGGGGAGTTCATTATTCAAGAAAAAAAACCCAGTAGTTGCTAAACAGGAGAAAAGTTTGGCAACTCTAAGTGAAGGAAGGAAACCGTGGTTAAAGATGGTAAAATATCTTAGCGTGTATGTGGGTAATATTGTGAGTCTTGGATGTGTCGTGTAAAGAATTTAACAAGTCAATAATTTCTACATTTACCAAAGCTTTCAGTTTGCTTCAGTGGTGCATTAAAACGGTGCAAGTGTTGTAACAGCTGTAATTTGGTTTAGTTTAAAAGGATGGCTGTTAGCAGAACTGAACTATTTTAGAAGTTTGGAGGTGTTGAACTGGTGTTTTGTAAGTCATGAAATGGATTTTTTTCTTTTACAAGGATAAAGACAATTTATTTTTTTTTTAAAGTACCTACTTATTTGTCTATAAATAATGTTATAAAAAGTTATTGCCTGTACTTTAAAGAGAGATTTTTAGGTTCTTTTGAGAATATGTTCATCTTCCCTTTTGTGCTTGAAGGTGAAAATGGTTATGACTCTTAAAGTGTACTTTTGTACGTGTTTTTACTTGCAGTTATAGGGTTGGCTGTCTTTTACCTGTACTGATTAATAGAAAACAACGAAGTCCACATTCATCCAAATTTTTGATTGTAGCACATACACCTACAAAATTCAAAATTCAAGATGTTTTTGAGAAAAATAATGCTGACATGCATTGATATTATATCCTTTTCCTTGCAGTGATCAATATTTCTCTCTACCCTCAGTAATTCTCAAAAGAACTCTGAAAACTGAAAAGTCTGACTCCCAAAGGTGAGTGAAACTTGTAATTTCTTTTTGCTCCAGGTGAAGTTTACCTAATCCTTCAGCACACTGCAAGGTTGTCCTGTGGCATTAGGGTATTAGTGCTAATGGAAAGACGTGGTTATTACAAACAATTCCGAATTTCACGGCGCGCATCTTAATGGCAGAAAGGGATTTTCTCGTGATTAAAAAGAAAAATGGGTGGCAAAAGAAGGAAGAAATGCTTGTTGCGTAGGGGGGATCCCCTGGAGGCTTAATTACTGAAAAAAAAAAAAAAAAAAGCAAATAGGAGGTAAATGTTCAAGATGTTTACAGGTTAAACATTCCATAAGTATCTTTTAAATAAGAGTATCTGCAGCCTTGGAGGAGCTAATTGCTCGAGAATCACAGCCATTTATGCTGCTTCCTTTTCCCCTGGGATCGACACTCACAACAGGGTAATTCTTACCCTGATACAAGTGTCACAGTGGGGGACTCGGTGTAATTTGCTGATATGATATCAAAAATAGCATTAAGGTAATTACATTTTGCACTTGTAATGTTTCAACGTGCAATAAATAATATAACTGAAAATTCCTCTTCTATTTTATTTTGTTGTTGTTGTTGTAGTAACCTGGCTATTCCCTACCAGAACCACTTTCTTTTTTTGTTTTTTTTTTTTAATCTCTCTTTTTCCTCTTAAGGTACAGCGGGGAAGTTACTCAAAAGTTTTGAGGCTTCAATCAGAACTGAAGAACAAACTGAAGTAGGTATTTTACACTGTTTATCTTGGGAGATATTCTGCAGGCTGAGCTGATCCATTGTGTGACCTGCCCTCAGCACTGTTCCACTGCAGTTTAAATTGAACCCTTTGTCCCTCTTGTTTTCTGGAGGAAAAGTTGAGTGTGTAGATTGTTGTTGTTGTTGTTGTTGTTTGGATGTATTTCAGTTCATAAAATTAAATTTTTGTGTTGAAAAATTAAATTATCTGTAACGCTAACCTGTGAGTTGTGCAACCTATGCAAGGAAGGTCAGTATTTCTAATTTAATAATCAGCAGCTTTTAGGATCACCTGGTCTTACAGTTGTTTTTACAGCCCAGGGTAATGAGAGTGCAATGAAAAAGTGACTACATCAAGAAAACCAGACCTTAGTTTGTTGGAAATTGGTATAGAGGTCTGGGTTTGAGTTGAGCTCCTCCAGTTTATGTCACATGGTCTGAATGTTCCTCATTTGGGACAGAGGAAGTGGATTTAATGATCATTTCGACTCAGCTTGACTGGAGATTTTGCAAAGCTTTGTAGTAAGTTGGTGGTGTTTCTTTCAAATCTTTTATCGGTTTCTGGGAAATACCCAAGTCCTGAGAAGCACTGTTATAATTTCAACATCAAGAAACAACCATTTAGAAAGAGATTACTCTTCATTACTAGAGACACTCTGAGCATCTCAGAATAAAGCCTAGCACTGAAGGCTAATATAGATGATATATTTGAGGACTTTCCTTCAGTGGGCTGAGTCACACAGAGAAGAAAAAAAAAAAGGCACATTTGAATATAATTTCATTTTGCCATTGAACAGTGCTGGGGACCCATTTTGGAGATAGACAAATGCTTGTCATTACTTTATGCTCAAAGGCAACATTGAAAGTGACCTGGAACAGGCAGGAACTGACTTTTTTTCTCCTAATATGATATGAAAGTTTTATCGTATTAGGAATTTTCTGTCATGGTGGATTAGTATCAGGTCATATTAACGTTCATTTTTACTAACTTACAATGAAATGTGCTAACGTGACTACACTATCACATGAGGAAAAAAAGCAGAATGATTTTATATTAATGTGATACCATAGAAAGATTTCAATACCTCTGTCCCATGACAAGTAGGAAGAAGTTAAAAATAAAATAAAATATGATGGCTTGGGACAAGGAGTTTGTGTGGGGGTTTTTTTTGTGCAGGGATGAAACTCCTTCCCTCGCCCTCTCTGCCCCCAACATCATGTCTATATTTATTTCATGGCTTCTGGATTTTTGAAGTGATTAATTTTGAAGCAGTTTGGGTCTGATTTTTTTAATTATGGTTGCTCTCCCGTTTCTAGCTAAAAGTCATTGGGAGCCGTGAATACTGAGCACCTATACAAAACAACCCAAGGTGTTCCAGGCTGATTATCCCTTTACTTTCAGCAAAGCAAGTGTTGACTTCTCAAAATGTTCAAGATGTTTACAGGTTAAACATTCCATAAGTATCTTTTAAATAAGAGTATCTGCAGCCTTGGAGGAGCTAATTGCTCGAGAATCACAGCCATTTATGCTGCTTCCTTTTCCCCTGGGATCGACACTCACAACAGGGTAATTCTTACCCTGATACAAGTGTCACAGTGGGGGACTCGGTGTAATTTGCTGATATGATATCAAAAATAGCATTAAGGTAATTACATTTTGCACTTGTAATGTTTCAACGTGCAATAAATAATATAACTGAAAATTCCTCTTCTGTTTTATTTTGTTGTTGTTGTTGTAGTAACCTGGCTATTCCCTACCAGAACCACTTTCTTTTTTTTTTTTTTTTTAATCTCTCTTTTTCCTCTTAAGGTACAGCGGGAAGTTACTCAAAAGTTTTGAGGCTTCAATCAGAACTGAAGAACAAACTGAAGTAGGTATTTTACACTGTTTATCTTGGGAGATATTCTGCAGGCTGAGCTGATCCATTGTTGTGACCTGCCCTCAGCACTGTTCCACTGCAGTTTAAATTGAACCCTTTGTCCCTCTTGTTTTCTGGAGGAAAAGTTGAGTGTGTAGATTGTTGTTGTTGTTGTTGTTGTTTGGATGTATTTCAGTTCATAAAATTAAATTTTTGTGTTGAAAAATTAAATTATCTGTAACACTAACCTGTGAGTTGTGCAACCTATGCAAGGAAGGTCAGAATTTCTAATTTAATAATCAGCAGCTTTTAGGATCACCTGGTCTTACAGTTGTTTTTACAGCCCAGGGTAATGAGAGTGCAATGAAAAAGTGACTACATCAAGAAAACCAGACCTTAGTTTGTTGGAAATTGGTATAGAGGTCTGGGTTTGAGTTGAGCTCCTCCAGTTTATGTCACATGGTCTGAATGTTCCTCATTTGGGACAAAGGAAGTGGATTTAATGATCATTTCAACTCAGCTTGACTGGAGATTTTGCAAAGCTTTGTAGTAAGTTGGTGGTGATTCTTTCAAATCTTTTATCTGCTTCTGGGAAACGCCCAAGTCCTGAGAAGCACTGTTATAATTTCAACATCAAGAAACAACCATTTAGAAAGAGATTACTCTTCATTACTAGAGACACTCTGAGCATCTCAGAATAAAGGCTAATACAGATGATATATTTGAGGACTTTCCTTCAGTGGGCTGAGTCACACAGAGAAGAAAAAAAAAGGCACATTTGAATATAATTTCATTTTGCCATTGAACAGTGCTGGGGACCCATTTTGCAGATAGACAAATGCTTGTCATTACTTTATGCTCAAAGGCAACATTGAAAGTGACCTGGAACAGGCAGGAACTGACTTTTTTTCTCCTAATATGATATGAAAGTTTTATCGTATTAGGAATTTTCTGTCATGGTGGATTAGTATCAGGTCATATTAACGTTCATTTTTACTAACTTACAATGAAATGTGCTAACGTGACTACACTATCACATGAGGAAAAAAAGCAGAATGATTTTATATTAATGTGATACCATAGAAAGATTTCAATACCTCTGTCCCATGACAAGTAGGAAGAAGTTAAAAATAAAATAAAATATGATGGCTTGGGACAAGGAGTTTGTGTGGGGTTTTTTTTTGTGCAGGGATGAAACTCCTTCCCTCGCCCTCCCTGCCCCCAACATCATGTCTATATTTATTTCATGGCTTCTGGATTTTTGAAGTGATTAATTTTGAAGCAGTTTGGGTCTGATTTTTTTAATTATGGTTGCTCTCCCGTTTCTAGCTAAAAGTCATTGGGAGCCGTGAATACTGAGCACCTATACAAAACAACCCAAGGTGTTCCAGGCTGATTATCCCTTTACTTTCAGCAAAGCAAGTGTTGACTTCTCAAAATGTTGATCTAGAAGCCAAATTAAAAAAAAAAAAAGGTGGGGAGGAGGAGGGGGGGAAAAAAAAGAAAAAAAAAAACACCCCATCATATTGTGTCCATGCTCCATTATGCACAGAATGCTGTGGCCAGAAATAATTAACAGGCACAAAGGGTGGCAGTTAGTCATTTGGCTGTATGATTGTACCTGCAAGGTTTCTTTCATCTGGAGCCAAAATCTGATAAAAATGGATAATGTTTGAAATGTTCAGTCTTACCTAAATTATGACCAGAGAAAGCTTGGGTTTAATCTTGGCTCCAAATTTCATACAGGACAAAGTAGATGAGGTTGGCTCCTACACTTGATTTTCAAGTCATCTCTAATTCTGAGAGTCTGCAGTATGGCTTTCAGTGTTCCCTTTTGACAACAGCTAATATTCCTAAAAGCTTTGGTCTAAAATAAATGGGATTGAAGCCTTTCAAAAACTCCAAAGAGGTGACAAATTAAAACAGAACTATTTTCAAAAGTGCAGGATTTCTTCATTAGGTGATATCCATGAAATATGCTGGTAGCAGATACTGTGGAGGGAGTGTGGAAAGCCAAGTTGAGCTTGGTCTTTCTGAGACATGTAGAAGAACGTTGTACTAGAGAGGAAAAACTCTGAAGTTTTTGTGTCAGCATGTTGAAAACATGTTTGTTAATCACTTGTAGTTCATTTAAAAGCTCTTGCAGGTTAGAGATCACAGGCTCTTCATCCTAGTGCTGTCCCTGTGGGTTCAGAAGCTTCTCATCAGAATGGCCTCAATTAAAACAGCAGCACCACTATCTGTAGATTACTGCTTTCCATCATTTATACTGTGTTATCTCTCTCTTCAGACCGACTTTTAATTTTTATGTTTGCAATTATAAGTGATTTACAGGAAAATCCATTGCACGACCTGTCCAGAATCATTAAATTCACCTAGGTTGAATAACCTGATGTTCACCTGGAAATAACCACATCAGAGGCATTATCTTACTGAATTTTAGCTACCTTAGAAATATAAAGCTTATCTTTTATTCTTTTTTCTTTTTTTTTTTACTCTCAAGTATAGTGGCAGGGGAGGGGAAACATTTTTTAATTCATAAGAGGTAATTAGCCAAGTCTGAAAGGTGTGCACTAATTACAGAATGCTGTATATCTTGTGTGGCTGATTGCAGCACAGGTTTCTGAATGGTAACTGGGATTTTTTTTTTTTCCAAACACTGTTCAGTAATTTGAAATGTTATTAGGGGATTAACTTTCCATACGAAAAGCTAAACTAATACTTATTATACAGATTATAACAGCGAGCGGCCCAAGGAGCTGCTGAGGCCATTATTTTGCAGGCTGCAGCCACTGCCAAAAGACCGAGGAGAGTGCTGGATGGACCATGTGCAGAGCTCCATCCTCTGCTGCTCCTCGTCCCTCCTCCCTCTGCCAACACGAGGCAAGCTGATGAGCTCCGTTTATGAACATCACTCCAAAATGAAGAGGCAGAGGAGAAAAGGTGTGGGGATTGTTGAGCGCTGTATTGTTCTTCTTTGCGGTTGCAAATCAGTCAAACTATGCTGATCTTAGTGAATTTTTAGCTGGTTTGGAATACTGTCACCTTATACAGAGGCCAACCTTTGGGTTTACTGTTTTGAGAAAACAGCTGAGCAGTACACCTTTAAATACTTACTTCTGTTTGTTTGATCGGGGGTAAATTTAGTTTTTGCAGCCAGCAATTTCAAACCCCATTAAATAGCTTGTTCTGATTTACTCTCTGTGGTGGTATTAGCTGCTGTTTATTTTTCCCTCCCTCCTCCCCAGGTTTTCTGCTCTTTATAGGGTCATCTATTTTCCCTTTGGGTGACCTCTGATATTTGTTCAACACAGGGGAAATCAAGCTGGATTCCTCCAACCTAAAAGCACGAGGCCATGGCTGGAGCTAAAGGATTGTAGCTACAGTGGAAACCTCCCATTCCCTATGAGCAAGGCAATAGCAAAGGCAAACCCAATTTTAAATGAAGGCCACACAGCTGTGATCATGGAGAGTGGATGTGGGAGTGTGTGGCACAGTAGTTGGTGCCAGTGGAGCTGCAGAAGGAAGCTCTTTTAGATTTCTCTGCTGAATAAGTTGGCACTTAAGTGTGGGGCTCAGATTGGGGCTGTAAAAAGCACACTAATCAGTGGCTGGAAAATACCTGCATACAGGTTATGCCTCAAGGAGAAATGTAACCCTATTTTGGAAAGGAAAGGACAACACGATAAAGTCTGCTGATCTTTTTAATTCTGTATCCTGGTTTAGTGTTAAATTTCAACATCACCTTCATCACCAGCACCGCTCCTCTCCCCCCACCTCCCCACAAAAAAAAGAAAACAACCCTGCCATCATTGCTGAAAGAAATTATTTTTGTGTAAAAAATATGCTACTTGCCTCATATTATTTGCAGTGACTTGTATTCTTTGTCTGTGACTTGTATTCTTTGTCTTGGAAAGCACCTGGTCAGTGCAAGTGTAATTCTTCATTAATAATTTAAAACAAATTTCCTTATGACTTTTTTCTCTGCCTTTTTACCTTCATTCTGGATTATTTGTTAGATCAGCTATCAGAGTGTTCTTCCTAAAAGTACTTCAATCTTCTCTTTAACAAAGGTCTGAACTATTTTATTGAAAATTAAATTATCTTTTCTTCCCTCAACCCACCTTATTAATCAAGACTTCCTTTGCCTTGCTTTTCAGTGCTGTTTTCTGTTTGTAAAATTATAGCTCCTACCCCCCTCTTTGTGCTGATATATGATTGAATAGCTTATTGAATGCACTTTGTCCACATTTCTGGAATACATTTGCTGTTCTAAATATTTTAATGCTTTGGGTTTCCAATATGAAACTTGGGGGAATGGCTCTGAACATCTCCACGTCAGGTTCCCATTGCCTCCCTTTGTCTATCCTAGCACTGATATCCTTTGAGATTTCCTCCTACAGGCATCTCTGAAACCCTTAATTGAACCACTAGTGTGCTTGTTTCAAGTGTTTCCCTCGCTTGGCTTTCTAAAATGATTTTTAAGCTTTCCCTACATAGGTTTTCAGTTTCCCCAGGCTTTCCCTTAACTAATGGCATCACGATGGTCTCTTGTCTTCTGGGATCTCTTTTGAACTACGTGAACTTGTAAAGTGCCAGCGAAGACTTCTCTCAATTTCTATATCCACTTTTATTGCCCTCTTGGATATCTTATGTGTAGTCTGTGGGCTTCCTCTGGGCTCAGCTAGGAGTAGCTGTGCACCCCTTTTGCAGGAGAAGAAAGGGGTGTGAGTCACTGCATTGCTCCCTTCCATGGGCTGCCACTGAGCTGAAAGGCAAAATGTGTTGTACCAGGAAAAAGCTGGCCCAGGTCCCATTAGCAGTGGATCAAGCAGCAAATTCTGTTGACTGGTTATGTCAGGATATGCCAATGTGGTGCTTTCATCCCGAGCTGAGTTGTCTAATCAAAGTTAGAAAGCTCAGATGTCGCAGTGAAGTCTCTTAGGGTACAGCTCTGGTTTATGGGTGAAGTCAAAGTTTTGGGAGGCCTTGCAGGAAGATGAAGATCTACAGAACACCCAGCAGGATGGTAATTTTGCACTGCTTCTCTTAGAAGTTTATTTTGATTTAGAACAGGCACGCAGAACTCAATGGCCTTTCAATTCAGCAGAGGTCAATTACCACAAAAACTTCACCTTTCCAGTTTTGATCGTTGTGACAGGATGAGGAGCCAGATAGGACTGAGAAAGCCACTTTGCCCCAGTAACCTGCTGCAAAGCATCATTGTGAAGGGCTGGCATGGTCTGTGCTGTCTGCCATTGTGTCAACCAGAGGTAATGTGCTGTATTCAGGTATGTTGTATCAGATACAGTTATATTTTGGAATAGTTGCACATTAATTCTTTAAATATTCCAAGTAGTCATTGCATTTTAGTTTGATCCTTTTCGCTCTCATTCTGGAAAATGAGTTCTTAATTCTTGGGTTTGACCTGATTTAAAAAAAAACCTAAACACACAAACCAGGAAAAATTGGGTTTTTTCTCTCATACTGAGAGACTTTGACTGCATGACTCACTTTTGGTTTTGTCTCACTTGGTTTAGCCTTTTTCTTTTAATACTTAATCAAATCTTTCACTTCTGATATTTTATGGATGGGTTCAAAAGCTTTTTTTGTTTTTCTTACATATTGTTCCATATATCTGTCTTGAGCCATGTTGGCTTCTGTTGTCATTTTGACACTGATTTACTGGAATGAACTTATATTTTAAACTCTGTTATACTGCTCTTTGAATGCCTTCCGTTCCACATTAACATTTCTCAACAATAGTTCTAATTATTTTTTTTCCAGCCTGTTTGCAAATCTACCATGATGCCTTCTGAAAACAAACTTACTGAAGACATTTTAAGGAAATAAGTGATCAAGTACTGCTGGTAGTTCATCTGTGTTCTGTTAACTTATCAACACTGTTTACAGCACAAATCCAAAACATAGCCCCATACCAGCTACTGTGGAAAAAAATAACTCTATCCCAGCCAAAACCAGCACATATTCCTATTGGCATGTTTTGATGGCATTCTCACTGCCCACTGATTCGTGTGTACCTGTCTTTGTCTTGATCTTAAATAGGTTTTCAGTTCTTCTAAAGACAGGGGAAAGCCACAGCAGTGACAAGACATCTTTATAGTTTTCAGTGAAAGAAATTTGCAAATATGTTAACATTTTTATTCTGTTTTCATCCCAACAGCTGAATAATTTGCTTCCTCATCTGTGTTTCATGTGCTGCTGCACATCCATTATGTGTCCTCTACAGCAGCAAAAAAACCTGTGCAGAAAGGCTTAATTCAGTGTTCTTTTTTTTTTTTTCTTTAGGAGGATTGTTTACAGACAAATCTATTTAAAATGTTTTTTAAACAGTACCTGTGGATGTAAATGAGCATAGGTACATTGAAAGAGATGAAATTTTTAGAGCCACACCAATTAGTACGAGCTGAGGGTTGATGCATTTGTGGTGTGCCTTTCTGATCTGTGTGATTATTTTCTCTCTCTCTTGTGAGCTATTTCTTCATGATTTGGTGGTCTTGAGGTATGAATTTTACTCAAATAAATTTAAAACTGTGGTTGTTTTGTTACTTGTATTACTGCAATTCTTAGAAATCCAAGTCATGAGGCACAATTTCACTGTCTTAGCCAAAAGAGACTGCTGAAGAATTTACAGCACAAGAGAAGGGAAAGCACAGGGATGGAGGCCAAAGGAGGAGTGCACAGACTGAGTTTGATGGGACTAGTGGAAGTCCTCAGAAGTTTCTTCCTCCCCACTCTCTGAAGTCTATTGGTCTATTAGAGCTTCATTTCTTCCTCTCTGTTTTGTCTTGCTGATACAGAAAAAATAATAATGTGCTGGTTGTCAGTTATATTTTTAGGAGGTGTGGTTGAGGAGAGCACTGGGAGCTAATTAGAAATTTAGGAAACCCTCTTAAAAATAGGAGGAACAGCACATGAGCATACACAAAATTTTTGGCCTTTAACAAATTAACTTCCTCGTAGGTGAATGAGAGGAATAAATCTTTCAGCAGTGGGTGAGAAATCAGGGGTAGTGTGGACTGTAGGCTGTGAAGAGTTTTGAAAGGGAAGATGAGTCTCTTGGAGTTTGATGGACTGGAGGGGGAGTGGAATGTTTCCCTGCTTTGCAGTGGTGCTTGGAGCTGCACATTCAGGAAAAGAATATTGTAGTAGTGAAGTTATGAATAACAAGGGACTGCCCACTTAAAGGTTTTTGCTGTGTGGGTGGACAGAAGTCTTGTATGAAAAGAACATGCAAAGACTTCAAAGGTTGCATTCCAGAAAGTGGGTTTGGATGGATATTTAAGATGTGCAAGTGCAGCCTCATCAAAGCAAACCATTACACCTTACCTGAGAAGATACTTACAGTAAAATCTTGCATTCTTTTTTGTGTGTGTGTGTGTTGTTCAGATTTTCAAGGGGAGCAGAACACAAAAAATGAAACCAATTTCATCTCTGCCAAGGCTTGATTTCCAGGTTTGATTGGAGAGCAGCTGGACAGTGAAAATTCCTCTTTCTTTGCAGTACTCTTGCTGCCTATATACCCCCCTCTTCGTGCCTGCTGTTTCTACCCTGAGCCTCAGTGCCAGTTTCATAACACTTAGGTGACCTTCTAACTCCAGTGTTTGGCTTGTTTCCTACACGCCAGAAGCTCAGTGAGACACAAGGATGACACATGAATGAGCACACCCTTGAGAAAAGAGGGTTTTTGGGTAAAAAGAGTTGTGACAATCTCAGCAAGGAAACTGTCTCGCTCGATTCCTCCGTGTTGTACGTTGGTATCAAAGAAACGCCTGACGCTGCTGTCAAATCACCTTTCCTCCCAGACAACCTGCAGGACCTGCAGTTTAGGCAAAGCACTCAGATTAAAGAAGCTGCCTAAGTTGCTGTGTGAATTTGGGGCAGTCCTGTCTGCGTCATGCAGCCTTATCTGAGATTGTTCCAAGTTTTTTCCAGGAGCGGGGTGGGATGGGGCAGAGCTGCAGAGGGTAAGGGCTTCACTTGCTCTCCACAAGCCTGTGTCGTGGTTAGGCCGTGATTTGCCCCGCTGACTAAACTGCAAGGTGTAGGGCTTTGCTCACAGCACAGTGGGTATAATCTTTTCTCATTAAATGTAATTTCAAATTTAGTTTTAACGTGCACGTTTGGAGATACCGTAACCCCGTCTACAAAGCACATCTGAAAATTGAGCGTGCAAGGAGGTGTAAAACATTTGATTTGGTGCTGTTCAAATCCATGCTTGTTAACAGCATAGCGTACAGGTAGGGAAAGTATAAAAATATGGTGTAATGCAGTGGAATGAAAAAGTATCTTTTCAGTTCTATTCTGAGAATGCAGCAAAAATAGCCCAATGTCAAATGCTATTTGAGTATCACTTCCTAATGTGTCTGATACACTTATTCTTTATGTGAGCACACTGCTGTCTTGCTTATGTTGCTAAAATTCAAAAATATCTATATTCAATTTATTTATCTTTTTGCCTCTAGGTGTACCAAATTAATTTCTTGGTTTCATTCTCAGCTCCTTATGGTTTCTGCGTTGACTGATTGATGGCATTCCTACCATCCTGTTGTACGAGAGGGTTTGAAAGTTCCAACTTAATAGCTCCACAAAGCATTTGCAAAAATCTCCTTTCTCTGCAGGGGAATGAATCCCACGCACTTCCACTTCTTGCTGGTACCATCTTGCCAAGTTGCGAGGAGGCATCTGTAGTGAATTGTAACACTGGTATGTCTGGGCTCATACCAGCTTCAGACAAGAAGCAGCAGTAAGAAAAACTCTTCTGCAAACCCTGGCAGACCCAGCAGTGACGGCCTGAGAGGCTGAATTTCGCTCTCCGCTACCAAGTATGCAGTAATAATAAAGCGGGCAGCTAAATGGGAGAGAAAGGTGTTAAACATCCTGCGTGTGTTAAAATTACCCAGCGTTTTTAGCCAAATCAGCCTCTCTGCACACGGCAGTGGAACTGTCATGCTGTGTTGTCTATAACCTTTAGCCACGTCTCGGATTGCAGGCTTGAGTTACGCGCTGACAATAACCACGCTGCCTCGCTGACTTATTTTGACAGTTTGCGTCCGGTTACTTTCAGTGATTTGCAAAGCTGACATTTCCCTTTAGTGAACCTGAAACTCCTTTCTGCCGTGTTGCCCAGATATTTTTATCGTGCCAGGCGGCAACAATGAAAGGCGGGGAAAAGAGGAGGGGGCTTCGTTCTTGCTGAACCTGGGGAGTGGGTTTCGCAGCAAATACGAGGGGTGAAAGGAGCTGTGTGGCATAAATGTGGACTGGGCCCAAGATTAGTATATTTGTGGTCAGAGGCTTATTTTTGTTAATTTTTTTCATGCTATAAATGTAACACTACTGTTTTGTTCCTTAGCAGATAGATGTTCTCCTGATATTGCAATATTTTCTTTCCTTCTGGTAAAGTGTATCTGAGCCAATTTATACTGACAGCTTTCCTAAGTTAACTTCTCTATGAATTCCCAGTTCATTTAATATTTTTTTTTTCCTCCTGCTTCCCACATTTGAGTTACCTTTGTTCTGTGTCTGAAGGATAGGAAGCTGATAGTTATTTTATATTTATATTTCAAGGTTGCTTAATGTTTAATGAGGCTGAATATGTTGTAAAAAGCTTCAGAACACTCAGACTGGTTAATATTTCATGCCGATCTACAGAGACAACTATATTGATCTTTTAAGCATCTGCTAAACAAGACAAGGAATAAATTAGATTTTGGTCAGTTTGATTTGGCTGGTGAGTTAAATAGCTTTTAGAACATTATCACCTTTTAAAATGTTTTGTTTCCAGTTGAATAAAGTAGATTTTAAAGGCAGTATTTCATGTCCTTTCTCATTGCTCTTCGTCTTGCCTCTTTTATCTCAGCTGTGTTTGTGTACGTTATGAGGGGAGGCAGAAATATAAAGAGAGGATATTTGCACTGTCTGCTTTATGCACCCATAATCATACCTTCTGAAGCCACAGTTGAAGGGGCACTACTTGTCTCTGTTGACTGCATTTTGGAGCCAGGTTCCCACTATTAAACTGATGTTTATTTACATCGCAGTTACCTGCCTAGAAAATCCTCTGAAAACCGTGCAAAGCTGTGAATATAGTCTGATTTAGGGGAAAACTCACCTTATCCCCGAGTTCCTTATCCAGAGAACCCATTTTAACCTCTTTTCACAATCTTGCTCTTCACAAGCGTTGGGGTAACAAATGCAAAAAACTAGATTTCCTTGCAAAAAAAGAGGAAAAAGAAATGATTACGTCCATTCAGATGTCCACGTAACTGTTCTGTAAACCTAATGCTAGTGGATTACGAGGCTTTTGAAAGGTCTTTTTTTGTACAGAAACAATTTCACAAGGGTGTTGTGATGACTTGAAGTTCACAAACTCTGCACCCAGAACACATTGCAATTGTAGAGCTGATCTAATAGGAACATTTTTATTAAGAAACTGAGTAGGCAGTCTTGGAATAAAGTCATGGGGTTTGCCTGTTAGCTCAAGAAGGTATATGTTCTAATGGTCATGGAACTATACTGAAGATAGACCCATGCAGGAAACATTTGCCAGTTTGACTAAACTCAAGCATAAATGACTGCATTTATTGTCTCAGTGAAAACAGTCCTCTCTAGCCTACATGTATACAAATATTCTCCCTGTCTAGAGTTCACTTTTAAATTATTTTGTAGTAAACTAAATACTCCAACTCAGTATAACCCTAGATATGTCTGTTCCAGGTTAGATATATTTATGTTTATGAATATAGATGGAATAATGGAACAATACTTTTTTTTGTCTCTTGAATTTCTGAGGTTTCTTTTTTTTGTTTGTTTAACTATACCCTGTTGTATGCAGTTTGGAGCAGATGTAAGAGCTGTGATAATTTCATGTCTCTGGCACAAAACATTTCAAAGTTATCAGCAGTTTGGGATGGCTATGGAAATGTTACATTTGGACTGTTCACTGAATTTAAAACTTTAGGACAAATAAAGATCTAAATCATCTAAATTAAGAGCAGGAATGAAGATAAGCTTTTTGTTTTGTTAGATTCTAGGATACTTCTCTGCCCACTCTTTCCCCTTCATTCCTGTTGCCTGTGGAATTTGCCTGTGAATTCACCTACGATTTAAAAATGTTTCATTTACATGTTACCATCTAAAGGTTTCAGGAAGTTTTAGCTCTCTGAATTCTTTTGCACTTCCATTTGATGAGTTCTCAACTAGCATTCCTTTCTTTTCTGTGTCCCAGCAACCAAGGCCCTGTGAGATGCAACTGAGTGCGATATCAGCAGAACTTCAGTTCAGCTGAATTTAAAGTTGGGGGTGAGGGCATTGGGAATAATTTGGGGGGATGTGTCTAATATGTAAATCTAGTCAATGTTATTTATTGTGTGCCTCTATTATCTTGCAGACAATCTAATGATAAAAGCACCTTCCTTTTTTTTTTTTTGTCTTCCTGAAACATGAAATTCCCTCCTCTTATCCAAGCAGGAGGTATGTCCTGAGAAGTCCTGAGAACAGCATGCTCTTGGGTGTTCAACAATCAACAATTAGAATAATGATTTTTTTTTTTTTCCCTTTCCTAGGTACTGTGGCCTCGATACCAACCTGTTAACCTTGAATCACAGTAGTGGGATTCATGGCCACCACACAGCGTTGATCGTGCATCCATTCAAACTTCCTCAGAATCCAACAGCAGCCTCAGGTGGGAGAAGGTAGTGCATGCTGGAGCAGCCTATTGAGTAACTTTATTTTTACCAAAACCTCTCAGTCTCTCAGGTGCAAGTGCAGCATCTCCAGTGATGACTGTTTCTTGGGCAGTGCTGTACCAGAACTGTTTGAGAATGTGGTAGGTGCTGTGGGGTTATCAGCTCATTGAGTCCTCACTGAGGACTTCAGGGTATTTACATACAGCTTTCTTCAAAAGCTACACTAATATTTCATTGAGTTTTTGTACCCCCATTGGTCCTTTCTAAAAGCTGTCAGACTATTCCCATATAAAGGAAATATTTCCTAGTTAACTGTGAAAGTGTCTTGATGCGTATCTAAATTCTGGTTGATATGATGAAACACTGTCATTTCTAATGTATGTGTCATCCTTAATTACTACTCAGATTCAGGATCATGCCTTGACTTGTTTCATACAGCTGTCCTGGAATTTCAGGTATGTGGTGGTTTGAGACCACAACTGTGACCAACTTTACAAATTGACAAAAAAGTTTACAACTTAAAAATACTGGAACTTCAAAAGCTAGCCAACCAGATCATATTTGGACCCTTTATGACTATGAAATAAATTCTTCCACAAGGAAAATGACTAACATGCAGTATATGAAACTGAGCTTCAGAGCCAACACTTGTGCTGACGATGGATATTCTTTAATTATCACCAGGAATAGTAATGTGTACACAGGATAACTGTATTCTTGTCACTGGCACAGTGAAGGGATGCTCCCATCTGTTGGAGATATTTTACTTTATCCTGTGAAGGGCCAGAAGGCAGGTGGGAAATTGCATGTTATGTCACATGCAAACATGTGCCCCTTGCACACTCTGGGAAAGCTGGTAACTTGTTCTTCTGAGGTTGCTCCGAAACACATCATGATTGGAATAATCTATATTGCACTTGAGTTTGAGGGACATCAGCCTCACTGGTGCTTCAGCCTTCAGTGGCAAATAACCTTAAGTTCTCCCTTTGTAGTTAGCAAATATGGTTAGTGTGCTCCTTGCTGGACATAGAATAGAGCACACACTAAACTGCAGCAATGAAAAGAGAAGGGCACTGTTTAGTAGTGGTGGATGCTTCCAAGGGTTTGGACTACAAGCTGAGTCAGGGGTTTGCAGAACTTTTGGCCTTGAAATTTTTTCCAGGGATCCTTCTGTCACCCTGTAAAACTGCTGTCATCTGCTAATGGTAACTTGCTGTCTAAGAGTGACACCACTGTCACTCAGTAAAATGCCTAAGGTTCCTTGACCAGACCAGCAGAACGTTAGACTCTGCCTTCCATGAGCTAGGCTTATGCCCTAACTATCTCACAAGAGTATGAGCCACTCTAAATTCCTAAATGTTAGTGCTCAGCAGCAGTAGTAAGGAGATCAGGATCTGATGGTTATAAAGCTATTTCTGACCTCCAGTCCCACCCACCCCATTGTTCTGCTTGCCTTTGGGCAAGCCTAGGGCCTTAGACTAGTTCTTATTCTCTTTAAAATAGTTCTGTGTAAACTTCACTGGCATCAAGATCAACTTCTGCACTGCAAATAGCAAAGCATTATGCAACAATTATAAGATACTTGTGTAAGTGTAACGAGATCGGGATGGGCTGCGATCTCCTCTCCTCAGGGGGTTCTGAACAGTACCTTGATTGGAACAGGAGACAGATTCAACCCGATTGAATCTTTATATGGAATTACAGGACAACGAACACCAGCCACTTAGCTCATCTCATAAACCCTAATAATTAAAACTGCCACGTTGCAATAATAATGGCTATTCCGGATAACCCAAGTAAGAAAAATGCACCTGTGATATGCTGTGGCATAGGCATGATGGAAACACTGAGTTTAATGGAGGATATATGTAATAGGAGTTACCACACAGAACCTGCAGTTGGAAATATATAAACACGCTTCCCAAGAGGATTTCACTGCGTCACAATTCATTAGGAAAATCGGCAATAACTGACAAGATAGGCACAAAATGGATTTTCATGTTGCTGGGATGAAGTATGGCTCCCAGCAATTAATGGTTTTAGTCATATTAAGCAGATAAATAATGCTATCTGACATTACAGTATTTCACATTACACTAAAATTTTGTAACATTTGCTCATAATGTGAGTTGAAATATGTTACCTAGGAAAAAAAATGTTATCTCTGGAACAGTCAAACCCCATTAGAAACCTTAGGCTTGAAAAATCACAATGTTAACAGTTATATCCCCTAGCAAAGGTTTTCTTTCCTTAAATAGTGTTAAATTTAAACCCAGAAGCTCCAGTCTCTTTTGGAGTTACTCTTCCATAGTGCATTGAGCTTGAAAGGAAAATTTAGTGCATGGAATGTACTGTGCCATTACTGGGTGTTGGTGAGAGAACCACTAGGAAGAACTGCAGAAAGAGGGGAGCCTGCAGAATGAAATCATATCAGGGACATTTATGTTCTCTAAAAAAAAAATGTTTCTACATTCTGCTTTATTAAAAAAGCTCCTATTCTTAATATGACCCCATTACTCATTATTGATAGATAACTTGATTATTCTAAACCCCATTCTTAATCGGCATGTTTTTTCATGGTTGGATAAAAGCTACCTGAGTATCATTCTTTTTGGGGAAAAAAAAAAGCTTTTACAGTAAAATACTATGGGTTTGCATGAACAGCTCCTCTGATTTCAGCATTCTTACTCCTGTAAGCATAGTTTTATACTGGAAAATACCTAGTGTGTACCAAGCATTAATAGGAATCAAGAACAAACATGGGAACATGATTTCTCTCTTGTGTGATGCTAATTCTGCTCCAAATTCATTTAGTAATGTGGAAGGAGATGTGATTGCTTGTCAAAGCACAGATGTGGTTTTTTTTGTTGGGACAGTGCACAGTGCATTTGGAAGTGTCATGTTTAGCTGAAGGCAACAATGCTTAGTGTCTCAGCACCCAACTCCCACAGAATTTCAACAAGAGTGAGCAAACAACCTTCCCTTGGGCTTCAGTGAAAATCCCTGGCTTAGTATCCAATCTGAGCTGCAGTTTCACTTGCAGGAAACAAGCCTTTTTTGAGGTCTTTTAAGGTATTGTTTCCTGAAACAGCAGAAGATAATCTGAGTACAGACAGAGTACTGCAAATCTGTTACTAAAATATGTTAAATTTTGATATGAAAGAGCAACTTACAAAAAAAAGTTCCCAAGATTTTTAGGGTTATTGAATACAATAAACCTTTCCAAATCCAAACCGTAAACAAACCAGATGATCATTTACACGTGCCAAGATACAATTTTATTGCTTCTCAGATAACACTGCATTTAGGCATTTATTTAACTTGAGGGTATTGTAAAAGCAAAAACAGTTCACTTGTGTCTTATGACATTTGTCCTATTGTAAGTTACTGGAAGAGGTAGGGACTTTTCAGAGACATTGCTGGCAATGTCATAAGAAGTGCACACCAAAAGCTCAATAACGGTGCTAGCAAGAACATGGAATCTCTGCCAGACTCTGGTATCTAGATTGAATTATCTTCAGTGAGAAGATGTAAAATATTCCACCACAATTCTTGCATGACCTTATGAGAAATGACCCTGCTTACAAAGGTCACGGTTCTGCATTGTCTCATGCTGATTTTCACAGATTTGTTGAACTGCTGAAGTGTGTCACAACCCGGGAGTCTCAAAGCTCCTCTCTGGATGGCTGTGTGACCACCAGTGTGTGATGCTGTACACCAAACCTCTGAGGAACCTCCCAGTGACTGCTGTGGAGCCCTGATCTCCCAGGTATTCTTGTTCAGAAATAATTCTAGTTATAGCATATTGGACTTCTTTCTAGCTTTTCTTTTTTTTTTTTTTTTTTTTTTTAATTGAAGTGAAGAAGAAACAGTTGGTGCTGTACATCCAACTGCTGTTTGTAGATGACCACCCAGTGTGGCAGGAGCTGCCAATGACCCAGTCCTTTGGGAACTACTGGCTTTAGAGGCTTGGTTTGTGCTTTCACATCCTCTCTCTGTGTTAGTCCGTGTTAGTGTTATTGCACCTTCACAGTATCAAAAAGAAGTATTGGTTTTTATTGTGCTTATTTTAAAACCGGTACATTTGAAACCAACCAAACTTATCTAACTTGGGTATATAAAAATATACATGTAACAGCTCACATTTTACAGTAAAAAAAGAAAGCACCTGTGTGGAAAGCTTACCCCCTTTTTGGGAAGGAGAGCTGTCTTTGTGGAGTTGCTTCAGTAACACGTACTTATAGGTATATACATACAAACCCAGAACATTAGCCACATAAATCCGTCCTCTCATGTGGCAGAGGAGGCAGAAGGCCCAGAGGGGTGATATGTCTCGTTCTTTCTCCATCACAGAGCTGCTGCCATTCACACTGCACGAACAAGTGCGCGGCTCGGGTAAAGTGCGAAAAGCGTGAGGTAAATTATGCTCCGTGTGGCATAATTCCTCCCAGGAAACAGCGTAACCAACAGCCCCCAAACAGCTGGAAGTCACCCTGTCGTCTGTCGGAATGAGCAGCTGGCCCTCTGAACTCCACATCCCTTCTGCTCTGTGATGGGGGGTCAGAGAGAAGGGCCAGCTGCACCAGATACCTTCTGCAGCACCTCTGACCCAAAGTGGGAGACAAAAGCTGTGTGGAGACAAAGGTTGTATCAAACCTCTTCTCTGGATCAAAGTCTTAACTTGAAATTGTCATATGCTATTAAAAAAGACAACAACTTAGTCTGGTTAAACATTAGGTTTTTTTCTAACCCTAGCTGCATTTCACTATGGTAAAAGATTTGAAGAAAATATTTCACTATTAAACCTCCTTGCAATTATGTTTTTTTAGAAGTGCCTTTTCCATGTCAGGCTCTAATCTACTCAGAGAAGTTACCTTTTTATTTTTTCAAAAATAAAACTGTAGTAACTATATATTGTATTTAACCATCTGAAAAGAGTAAAAAGCTATTTCTAAGCGCTTTCTGAGGTAATAAGCTGGCATGTTAAAAATATATTAATGCAAGTCATTCAGTTGTGAGTGTCCCTTGCCCATCTGCCCCTGAAAGAAGGGATGGGCACAGTGATTTCAGTAAAGTGGAGGAAAGGGGTTGTAGCATCCTGGTTAGTATTCCTATCATAGTTCATCGTGGTTTCTTGTGAGGTCCTCCCCATAATTAGTAGCTTGACTTCCAACAAACATGTTCCAGTTGTCAAGAACCTCCTCTTTCGTTAGTTTTTGATCCTGGTAGGAGGAAAACAAAACCTCTGTAAGAACATTTTCAAAGAATGAAAATCCTCTGGTGTACTTTGTGGAAGATGGTTGCTTATGTCAGCAATTTACACACTCTCTGTGTAATAATATTTTGGCTTTTCAGGTTCACACTTTGCTCACAATACACTTGTGAAGATCATCACCTGGAATCGAGTGTGCCACGCTACAGGAAGTGGATGTACTGAGTCAGTCTTTAGTGAAAGGTATGTGCTTGATTATGGAAGTGATTTTGCTACCCCTATGTAAATAGATCTTTATTTTCCTCTTGTAATCTAAACTAACATACCAAAGTCATGACCACCTTAAAGGAAAAGAGTATTTCTACTGTGTTAAAACACCTAGGCTTAAGATGACAAATAGATTCTTATCTCACCTAACGAAAGCCAAGGGAACTTCTGGAGCTGACAAACTGTATTTTACTACTTTTACTTTGTGATTCTAACCCTACCAACTGAAACTGGCATGGGAACATTAATGCACCAGCGATTCTAGCCTCTAAAACTCCATTTAAAGTGTACTAATATGAAAAGTCATCAGGAATAAATTGCTGCAAGCTGATATTTAAAAAAACCCCAAACCATAACAGCTCATATTACTCCTTTAACAACTACAGTAGAACGCTACATACCTTGTCTACATCAGACTCATAGACTAAGTGCCTGGCTTCAGCCAGGGCGTGATCATAGTCTTGTGGGAGAATCCAGTGCTGAATCTCATCTTTGTCCATCTTTCCATCCTTGTTGAGGTCACGAAAATCTGCAAACTGTTCACGTTCTGTAATCACCCACTCAGGCTCTGGTCCACCCTCTTCATTTGCAAACATGTCAGCTGGAGAGGAAATAAAGGTCTCACTCGAGTCATATTTAATTTGCAAATTATGCACAGGCTAAAGACATTTGCACAGTGTTCCTCAGAGGAAGACCAAACTTTCCACTCTTTGCACAGCATCTCTTTGTACAGAAAATGAAATGTGGGGTGTAAATAGAGTAGCTGTGTGCATCTTCTCTCAGGCCTATTTCTTCACTGCTGGTGGTTCTGTCCTTTCTTACATTACCCTTGTCTCATAACTGTGCACTCCTGGTCAGGCTAACATGAGAGGTGAACGTGTTCAAAGGCCATCATCACTGAATTTCAGAATGAAAAAATTCTCTAAGGGTCTTCAGTCAAATAGCAATCACAAGCTTTAGTGTTAGGCTCACTCACATGGGGAGAAAGGAACTCAGCCATTTTATCTTGTCCCTGCCAGCAAATGTCTTTGTGGATAAGATCAAACTCCAGCCAACAGAGAGTGATTAAAGAAAAAAAGGCACAGGGGAAACTTAGGCAAACAAAAATTGCTAAATGGAACTTGCAGGCTTTTATCCTGCTTTTAGAGAGGTCTGTGTAAGAGACACTCAGCTCAGTAGACGAGTCTTCTTTTAACCAGGCAGTGCTGTAGCACATTCCAGCAGAAGATATTCTCCTACAAAGAATGAGCTGGAGAAGTCATGAATCAGTGGTGCATTCTGTGAAAAACCACAGGCACAGGGGCACTTGTCATAGATTGGTACCTCGGGATGGAGCACCATTTGTGACACAGGATGCAGAGATCACATCAGTCCTGTGCTATATTTAGGAAGCATCGGCAGGACAACGCCACAGTGGCAGCTGCTATCTGCACCAACAGAGTTAGGACAGGAGCAGTGATTATTAAAGAGCGAGTGATTTGTAACTGAACCAGTTTTTGCATCACAGGCCTTCCAAATGATGAGTAGTGTGTCCACTTTGTTCTGCTGGTCACTGTGGCTAATTGTTTTTTTTTGGTTTTTTTTTGCTCATCAGGGCTGCTTGTTCCTCGAGCCTTCCACTTTTCTAAACAGAATTAAAGGCTGCTTTTCGATACTACTCCTCTCCTCTGCCTTTTGTGTTTGGTTGTCAAGGATGTGCTAAGGAAAAGCGCACCCCACGAGGCTGGTCTCAGGGCCAGAGGCTGGCTGATACCCACGGGAAACATAACTGCTGATTTCAAAGCTAGGAGCAGCCTCCCCTGACTCTGCAGTGTGAGCGTGCACACCAGGCTGAAGTTCTCTATTGCCACTGTCCACAGCGTCCCTGAAATGTTCTGTCACCTGCCCATGCACAGTAAGAATTTAGTTCTCTTTGCTCAACGTGATAAGAGATATTTTGCTCTGCTGTTTCTGTGAATCTAAAACAAATTTTGTAAAAAACAGAATAGGAGGAAAGAAAGGGAAGGAGGGAGGAATCATTCTATAACCTTCAGCAGATTTCCCCATCAAATACTCAATCAAGAGACTGACTTCTTTTTCTTGTCTCCTCATAAAACATCAAAGAAGAGATTTAGTTTTCTGTTGGTTTCTTAACCCCGACTTCATCAAAATTAAAAAATAATTACATCTGAAAAAGGGAAGTAAGAATGTTTAAGCATAGTTTTCTCAACTCATGAAGGAAACTTCAGACAACACATTCACTTTCTTTTTTTCATTTTTTAAAGTGCAAATTATATTGTTTATTTGAAGCAACTGACACGTCCTGTCAATTTGATTTTTATCATCCTTGCCTATGTGGGGTGATCGTGACTAGAACATTCTATGTTCCTATCTATAGAAGACAAGAAAAACGAGCATTCACATGGTAACAAATGTTGACAATTACCTTATAATTATATGTAGGTAATGTCACTGAATGAACTGAAATTACTGCGGAAATTATGCTGCTCTGTTATTTCAGTCATAAATGAATAGCATTCACTTTCTGGGCTAAATATAATTTACAGGGAACAGAACCCCCTGCCATTAATTAACGTGTGTACATTGTTCCTGATTCTGTGTGAAGAGATCTTTACAGCACCACTTGAAACAGGAAGATTCATCCAAGTTTGCACTAATGCCTTCCTGGTGCTGCTTTCTTGATTTAAAACCCATCAAAATGAGTGCAGTGGAGAGGAGGGCGGGTTCTGGTATGGGAATAGTGATTCAAAAGGCTAAAATGTATCAGGTACTGCTGCTCTCCACTCCTGCTTCTGTTTTGTCTTCATAGGTCTAAGTGCACGACAGCAGCCAACTGCCTGGTGTGGCTAAGTTTGTGTGAATTAACTGTGACTGATCTGCTGAGGATGTTTCCCACTTTGCTCTCTTTCTGCCACTGCAGTAATGCACTGCTAACTTTCACGCATTTCACAACTTCCTTGAGAATCTTAAATCCTGGTGCAGTTTTAACACAGTTCACTTTTCAGTGTATCTTCTATTTCTAGAAGAAATATAGTGGTATCACCATTAGAGAAGTGTGGGGCTTTACTTACTAATTAAACTAGGAAAAAAAACTAGTGGAAAGAAAAGGTGAATTTTCTCTTTTTGCAATGCATGCTTCCCAGCTGTTTTGCATATTTGAGTAATATTCAAACTTGGGAAAAGACGAATTCACTTTCTAATCTTCTTGCATTTCTAAACATTTGTAAACAGCTGTTAATGTCATTTAGTATACAGAGAATATCCCTCTCATGAAAAATATTATTCCAGATCCTCTTCTCTTGTTCTCATATAACTCTTAGCTGAGTTATATGAGAACATGAGGAGGATCTTATGCTGTAAAGTGTGAGGAACCTTTTCCTGGTGACGTTGAAATGAAATTAAGCTTTCTGGGTTGAGTGGTTTGTATAAAATAGTTGAACTGGAACAGGGAACTGTTTATCCCTGGGTTGTTGATGCTGCTGCAAATTTGAAAGATGGAAAATATGGATTGGAGATTATATAAGAAACAAGTATCAACACTTACCAATGTATTCATCTTGATCCACAAAACCATCCCCATTTTTGTCTATGTCTTCCAAGGTTTCCTGGAAAATAGTTTTGCATTGAAGTGACCAAGAAAAAACTGAGAATTATGACTATTTGCCTCTTTGATCATTTAATGGTTTTGAGGCCTTGACCTGCCCTTGTATACAAGTGATTGTGCTCTTACTAAAGGCAGTGTGATTGCTGTTTATACAATGAATATACAAATATCCTTTCATGCTGAAAAAATTCCCTGTATGAATGAACTGAACACCATGCTAAAGTCAGGGGCAGATACAAGCTTGCATGAAACACTTGGGTGCTGCATGTCAGCATACCCTTCCTTTTATTTTGGTTTAAGTCTGTGCCCCAAGACCATTTCTTGATTCTATTTAGGAGCTGTCTAAGTGCACTTAACAAGTCTTTTTTATATCGAGAGTTCTAACTCAAGTGGATTTCATGAAAGGCATCCCTTTCTGTTCCCCACTTAGCTATTATGTGTGTGTCTCTTTCTAAACCCTGCCTGGAAAGGTTAGAGAAGCACTTCAAAGCTCATCCATAAAAATAAAAGTGAAAATAATGGCATTGATTTTGCTCTGCTTACTAGGACAACAATGTTTTTCATGTGCTCAAACTCCTCTGGGTGGAGGAAAGCAGTGAATTCTTCACGAGTGGCAGCCAAGTCTCCATCCAGATCTGCAGTTTTGAATCGTCTTTCATCTCTGGGCAGCATTTTCTTAAAACTGTGCGGATCAGCTGCATCTTGGAATTCTTCTGGATTTTCTGCAAATTAATCAAGATGATCTCAAAAGTGTTTTCCTTTAAAACACACTAGAACAATGAAGCTCCCCAACTTGTCGTTTGAGTCTAGAAATACAAAGGCTTGTTTCCTACTCTTTCCTGTGAAGTTTTAAATTCAGGGGTCAAGTACATGTTTTGATTTTTGAAGGTGACAATAGCAGAGGTGAATTTCTTCTGTTGCAATCCAGGATAATGGATTTTGCAGTATTATATATTAGTCCTCACAGATTTATATTTTACCTGCCTTTACAAGCACCACTGAGGCAGCATTTGGGGTAGATTTCAGACCCAGAAGTTTTATTCTTCTTTAGGAATTAATATGATCTACACAACTTTGCAGTTTCAAGAAGCAGGCAAACCAAAGAAAGGTGGTTTTAGAAGGTGGCAGACTGTCTGAAATTATCTAACTGCTACGCCTCTGCTACGGGGAACCTAACAATTATTTTCAGTTTAAAACAATGACATTCTTTCAGGGTGTTCAGTGGCATAAAAGGAATGGTATTTGATATAATTTTTTTTAATAGGATCATTAAACCGACTTCAGACGTGAAAAATACTCATAACAATTTCACAAATCAGATGTTGGGAGACAAACACAGGTGAAAAAGACTAGGCCAGGAATTACAGATGGGAATTTTAAGCATTCATTAACACAAGCCCACAGTGTAGTAGCTGTTCTCTGAATCTTGGGGATTACAGAGAGCAAAGACAAAAGGCTGAGAAGGCTTCCCAGGGGTAATGCTGCAGGGATTGTGTGTCAAATATTTCCTTCCACAGATGTAACAGGCTCCATTTTAATCTAAGGTGGACGTTGGAATGATTATTGCTACTGGAAGCTTGCTCTAGAAACTGTCTCTCTGGTAGGTAAATATTGCCTTCTCATTTCCAGTAAATATAAATGGTCAATTAATACTGATTTGTTGTTCTGTCAGTATTGCCCTTTTGGCTTAAGTGGTCTCTTCTCCTCATTTCCCTTCATTAACTTACAAAAAGCAAAGGAAACAGGTGAGGGCAGAATTCGGGTATATTTTTCAATAAATGTTTCTTTTGACTGATTTGTTAAGAATTTTCATTTGCAGTGGATCACAGTCTGAAGCACGTTATTCTCCAAAACAATTTTAATCAATAACTTTGTTATAGCTTAGAATCATTTTTTAGCATCTAGAATTAAGCTTTTAGAGAGAGTGAATTAACAAATAGAGTTAATTACACAATATAAATATTTTTAATTAAAATACTATTTTAAATATTTAAATATTAAAAAATAATTTATTTGTAAGCTGGAGACTTTAATTCAGCTGTGTTAGTACATTTAATGATATCTCTACAAAACCTTCTTTGTGCTGGTTGGCTGCAATAACTAACTATAAAGTGCTTTAGACCTCTGAGCATTTATAAAATTTAATGTGAGTTTCAAGAGACCTAAACGAGACACCAAACTTCATACCTTGTAATCCCCAAAATCCTTGATCACACAATCTGAATACGTTCTCTTACCTAGATAATAACCATATGTGGCTTGTTTGTATTCTTCCCAGGCAATTTTATTGTCCTTGTTTAGATCATAGTCTTTCCAAACTTTAGCCACGTTTTCATAGATATAGCGTTTCTGTACCCGCTTAATCCAGGTTTTTAACTCCTCTGTTGTGAGATAGCCATCTTTGTTGTCATCTATTCTATCCACAATCTTCCTGTAAAAAAAGAGATCAGAGTCCTTAAGGGTTGGCAGAAAAACAAACTGCATGTCAAGGCCACTTCTAGTAATCTTTATCTGGCTCTGATTTTCCACAACAAAAAGGAGTACCCAAAACTCATAAAGCTGCCCTGCTGGTCTTAAGGGATATGTCTCTATTCATTATTCAAATATCATTAAAATAACTGAAATGGAACTTGTGCAATCAAAATTAGTGAACAAAGGGAACCTCAGATAATACCTGGCTCTCTTAGGTTGTGTCTACTCTCTTAGGGGGACCTGTTCTTCCCTGTCCATAGGCAGTGGCCAGGCTGGCTCGGAGCAGGAGGCACCAACTTCACTAGAGGAGAAAGCCTGTACTTGAGCTTGCTGGAGGCAACCAGGGCAAAAATCTAGGACGTGGTGGACACCTGCAGTTTCTCCCCTGGCTTTCCAGCAGACTGACACCAGGGTGGAGTGACTTATATGACTGCATAATGCTGGGGGTGTACACCATGTGCAGTCTTCCCTTCCATGCCTGTCCTTACACTGCTGTTTCTTTCCTTCCATTCCCATGGAAAAGCAGTATTGCTGGGATTGCCAGGAATGCCTGCTACTTGCTAAAGCAATACTAGTTTGCAGCAGGTCTCCAGTCATTGGTGGCAGCTGGGACATAAACCACTGTCCTGGGTAAAGCTGCCACCCTCAAGTGCTGTTGAAATCAGGAGTGAAAGGTACTGGTGTGCTCCCAGGGAAACTCCTGTATTTGAAATGTTCTGCACACAGCTGCAGATAAAACTCACCTGAAAAACTATGTTAAAAAAAAAAAACAAAAATAGGGCAATGCTGACTTGCTGTGCCTATGGAATACCTACATGTCATTGGTATGAAAGGGGTAAAAGCAGGACCTGACTTCTCTAAACCCTGACTTGACATTCCTAAACCTCCAGGCAGCCAAAGGACCCAGGTAAAGGTTCTCCACTTTTAAATACTCTTTCCAATTCAACATTTTGGTTCTCCACAGAGAAACCAACCCTGGCCAACTGGAACTGCTTGAGTAGTGACGCAGTGTCCTTTCACAAGCCTTACCCATGAAAGTGGTAAGTAGTCAAATAACAGCAGCAGCTTCTGCTGAATTCCCAGCAATTTTGTGCCAGTCTGATAGTATCAGACTGATTTTATAAACACGCCATTTCTGAGCTATGGGGGGGAAAAAAGGGGCTGCTGAATTTGCTTTCTGAATTAGTAAAGTATGAATGAACTGAGTAGAAAACCTTTTCTATTTTGCATAAATCTCATGGAGAATTGACTGCCAACGGTCCCTTTCACTGCACGACGGACTGTATTTGTCAACAGATTTTCCCCACAATGAATTTGGTTCAGTTGGTTTATAGGGTATTTCTTTCTATTGTTAAATTTATTAATTATAACAAGTGATTTTGCCAGTAGCTCTTGGCTATTTTTAACATGAAAGAAATCAGGGCTGTTTAGCAGACGTTTCATGGCTCTTCCTTTTCACCTTTTTTTACAGGTCCATTGCATCCATGTGCACTGTGTCACTCTGCTTCTCAGCTGAAGATGGAGACAATGAAATAGTTTTGCCTACAAGCTCCCAAAGGCACAGGTATCAAGCTTGGACTGTGGACCTCACTTTTTATACTGATAAATTACCTGCAAAAATGGCTTGTGATCATTCTAAGCTAATGCCTTAGTGCCTCGGGTTTAAATGGTTAATTCTTAAATACAGAAAAAAATTCAAATAGCATGTTAACAGACCAAAAATTCCAGCTCATATACAGGAATTTGCCTGCACAAGTGTGTAAATACCTGAAAGTTTACTTTCTCCCTTTAACTGAGGTGGTATTACAATCAGTATGAGTTGGTACACACAACCTTATGCCACCGAGATTTAAGCTGCCAGCCTGTGAAGACATCTGGTGATGAAACAAAGTTGGGGCAAGGAAATCACTACTACCAAGTGGCTCAAAGAGGAAGGCTTCCCCTCTGCACCTGACGTGAGTACAACTGTACGTCGATAAACTCCGGCTTTGGTCTGTATATAAAGCAGAGACGTTTATTTTGTGAAGATCTCTAATCATCTTCTGTGTTCTCTTAAAAGTGGCAGACCCCTGACAAATGGCAGGGAGAAGGTTCAGACGCCTGCAGCCCCGCTCCCCTCCTCCTCAGCCCACCTCCAGTCCCTCAGTGCAGTCCTTGGATGCTGCACCAGGATTATGTCATGCTTCTCCAAAGCCAGGTGAGTTGCAGTACTGCATGTGGATGGGCCGTGTGTGATTCCTCCTTTGCCAAGTGACCCAGGGTGGGAGGACAGGCAGAAGGGATGCCCCTGTCACAGAATCTGCCATCAGAGCGGGTGCGCTCCCAGGTCACAATACAATTATGGGCTGGTATGTGCCACCATCCCAATCCAAGATCATGCTGTGCAGCTGCTCCTCCACCGAGCTTGCAGGCAGAGTGTGCAGGGCTATTTTTCTATGCTAGCTAGTTCCTTTTTGTTTGCTGGAACAAGGTGAGAGTGGCTTTGCATTAATGATGCCTAGCCCTGGGAGTCCAATCCCAGCACTGGTCATTGGGATGACGGACGTCCTGCCACCCTTCCTAAGCAAGGTGGAATAAATACAGAAACACGCACTTTGGTTAGAGCAGCAGACTGTATGTCCCAGAAATCATTTAGAAATACCTTTTATTTAAATCTGTCTTCTTCCTAAAAGCCAATCACTTGTTGAGGCACAGTATGCTATCCAAAATTACAAGGTTGAGAAATGCTGAAAGTTATGAAACTTTCCCACAGGGCCCCTCAGGAACCACATCTCTGATATTCTGATGCACAGTGCTCCCCCCACAGTGTGTGCTTTGGTCCTCCGAGGGACACTCCTGTCACCTCCGTTTAAAAGGTTACTGACTGTGGCTGTAGCTTAATGTGCCTGTGTCACCTCTCTGAGGGGCACACACTGAGATCACCACGAGTTAAGCTTCTTCCCTTGCTGAGCCGACGTTTGTAAACACTGTTTAAAAACAGCTGTATTGTTAAATCATACCCCCAGCTGAATTATCTATTCTGGTGTAGGTGTAGACCAATTTTAATAAGGCGTGTCCGTTTTAGTGACATGCTTTTGTAAGAATCTAGGTCATAAATCCTGTATCGCTGAGAACATGGTCCCTTTCTCTCCTTCTTGAAACAATGGACAAAGTCGGTCATTTCTGGTAACTACTTTATCTGTCTAGTCACTGAGACACACATAAATAGTAGTGACAGCCTCCAGAAGGATCAAGAGGTCAGTCAGTGAGATTACAGTGCTACTGCACTAAGGTCTTAGGATGGACCTAGACAGACAATCAGTGAGTACCATTCCCTGTGGTACTTTACTAGGCAAGGGGAATCTTAGTGAGAACATGCAGGTATTTCAAGTTATCTCCTTGCCAGTAACTACATTAAAGGATCTTTCCTTAATTCCTGTTAAACTTAGTTCTGCCTGATGATCTGGCTTCCTGTAGATTCCTGGCAGCATGGAAGCGAGAGCAACACAGAAACACAGTGGGCAAAGATGTCTCAAGTGGAAAAGCTGTGGGAAGGTGCTTCGAGCGGACTTGTAAACGTAGCTGTAAATAAGGAGTGATTTAAACTTGATTCACACTGATGTGGTGGGAACAAGTGACCCAGAGTTGGGGAGCTGTAGCAGCAAAGCCCTCCAGCAACAGGTGAGGTCTGTCCAACACCAGGCACAGCACCATGTACAGCAGCTCCCTCCACGAGGCTTGCTGCTGTAGGGCCAGGAAAGGCAGGAGAGAAAAACACCAAAGTGATGAATTGTTGGCTGCTCCTTTACAAAACCAGCAGAGTGCGAGAGAATTAGGCTGAGAAAGTTGGGGCTGGAGAAGAGAAGGTTGCATGGAGACCTCGTGGCAACCTCCTGAAGGGGCCTACAGGGAAACCAGAGACAGACTCTTCATCAGGAACAGTCGTGATAGGACAAGGAGCAATGGGCAGGAATTGAGAGAGGGGAAATTTAGGTTAGATATTAGGAAGAAATTTTTCCCTGTGAGGGGGGTGAGTGAGGCACTGGAACAGGGAGGCTGTGGATGCCCCAACCCTGGTGGTATTCAAAGCCAGGTTGGATAAGGCCTTGATCAACTTGGTCTTAGTGGGAGGCGTCCCTGCCCACGGTGGTGGTGGGGGGAATAGGGACTAGATGGTATTCAAATTCCCCTCCCACCTCTTAATGTTCTACGATTTCAAGTAGAAATCTCAGAGCTATCGCTGCCACACTGGGGTACAGGAGACTACACTGGGGTACAGGGTGTTGCACTGGGGTACAGGAGACTGCACTGGGGTACAGGGTTCTGCACTGGGGTACAGGGTTCTGCACTGGGGTACAGGGTGCTGCACTGGGGTACAGGGTGCTGCACTGAAGGGTCCATGGAGCGGGCACAGAGCATCCCAACCCCGCTGTGACACCAAGGCAAGGCATCCCCCACGCCGCCTCCGCCCAGGCCGGGCCCTCCCCCTGCCACGTCCGCCGCCCCGTCCGGCCGCCTCACCCCAGGCGCTCCCGGCTCTCCTCCGGGCTCAGCTGGTCGAAGCTCCGCGCCTCCTCCTTGCCCAGGAAGGCCTCGTGGTCGTACTGGAAGCCGGGCCGGTCGTCGTGCTGGGCTCCGGGCCGCGCCCGCTCCTGCCGCGCCGTGGGCTTGCCCAGCGCTCCGGCCGCCAGGAGCAGCGCCGGCAGCAGCAGCAGCGCCCGGCCCGCACCGCCACCCGCCATGGCCAGAGCCCGCACCCCGCTCCAGCCGCCCCGCTCCCACCGGCCCGACCCTCCGCCCCGCCCCGGGGCCCGCTCCCCGCCCCGCCCCGGCACGGCCATTGGCAGCGGGGCCGGCCCGGCCCGGCCGCCACGTCCGCATCGGGGGCACGGCCGGCGGGACAGGGGGGCCGCGGGGAGCGGGGGTCCCTCAGCCCGGGCATCGCCGGAGCGACCCCAGCCCGCCCTCATGAGCACGGAACGAGTTGGATGGTGGTCTCTGCTGTCATCCCGAGTTGGTTGGGAGAGGATAAAAGTATGATATTTTTGTTTGTTTTGGTTTGTTTGTTTGTTTTCTTTTCGCTTCATGGTAAGTAACAATAAAGCTACAAGTAAAAACAAAAACAAACAACCCCCCAAAGCAAAACAAACAAACAATAAACAAACAATAAACGGAAAAAATCCGCCCTCTTGACACTCTCTTGGGTGTTACAGCAATCTGATATCCCCACAATGCAGGGGATAAAAAAGGGTTGCAGGCACTCTCACAGAGGATATTTAAGGTGATGGGGTCACTGTCACTGTAAGGGAAGCAATCTCGGTGTCCTGAAAACGCAGGAGGGAGAAAGCCCAAACTATCTAGCGAAGAGAAAGGTTTTATTTTGTTCTGTTTTGCTAAATTTGCTCACGGTTGTAAAAGAAGTCTCTAGGCAGAGGTAATTGAAATTTACCCGTTGTGATTCCTTTTCCTGTGTTACACTCTTAATTCACAATTAGAGAATCACGCTATAGAGAGGGCTGTCATCGTATGCAGCCTGTTGCATGTTATGATCCTGTTGCCGAGTTCATCCTGTGATGAACTGTAGGACCACAATGTGCACCACCAGCAGGGCTGCTCTGTCCATTTGTGCTTTGGACCTGAGGGTATCACTAGTTCCAAATTGCAATGACTGGTTTGTTAGCCTGGCCCACAGGGTATATAAACCACATTTATGATGTGGCCTTTGGGTGTGCCAGTAACGCTGACATGCAGCATGCAGACCACAGCTTCCCCTTGCACTGTTGTTACCCTGTTTGACCTAAACCTGTAGCAGAACTGTGCTTGGCACAGGAGTTGCTTGTAATGACAGCAGAAATGTGATGGTGGAGATTTCCACATTTGCTGTTTTCTGCCTTTTGTGACTTGTGTAAAGTGTGAATGCCTCAGAATCGTTGGCAACAGTAGCAGATTTCAAACATTTAAACAGTCAAATATATTGGTTTTTTTTACTTAATTAGACAGCGTGGAACACTACTGCACCCCTTTCAGCTCAGTCACACCAGCTGCCCTTTGCTTTAGGTCTGTACAGACTGTCCTCTGGGTGTGTTTGTACATCCAGAGCTGAGCAACTGCTTCAGTGCTGTTGGTGAGAGCTGTGATATGCATGTGGCAGCTTGAAAATGGTTCAGCTGATCAGATTAGCAGTGTTTGAGTTTACAAAGCTAATGAGATGTAATCTTTTTATTGTGTTTGAATTTGGTTGGTTTATTTATTTATTTGTATTAAGCACGTAGCTGCAAAACAAAGTTTTCATTAACATATTCGGGAGGCTCATATTTGTGCGATAATTCAGATATGGCTCTTTTTTGTGCCTCAGTCTTCTGAAATTCTTGTCCCTGATTCCTACATCTATAATTTTGTTTCTAATGTTTTCCCAGAAGTGAGGCTGTGCCGAGGAGCTGAATCTTTAGCTTCTTGATCCACAAGTGATGGAGTGTGCTGATAGTTCAGAGATGAGTAATAGGTAGGCTTTGCTGCCCATCAGTGCTATGATAAGACATCAGCTTGATGCTTGTGGAATATGCAGAGGAATATGAAGCTGTTTGTGGGATGTGGGAAATGAATCTATGTGTTTTGTTGTCAGAACAATTTGGAGCCACTTCTGTGAGAAAAGCTCCAGTAACAGCGATGCAGATTGGGCTAAGTGCCTACATGGTCATTCATCTGAAAGCCTCCAGACACTGGGAGGGTTTGCCTCAGGGATATGGGTTCTGGCCATTGGAACATTTTAATTTTGTCCTGGGCTTGGGTTCAAGCGTGAGCGAGCCCTGAAATGTAGTGATCTTACAAGAGATGGGAAATCATCAATGTTCTGATCCCTTCAGTCTTGGTTCGGGACCCCTGGTAATAGCAATGAAGATTTGATTGATCCAATATGACTTTTTGTGGAAAAGGACTGATATTGTGGTTACTTGTCCTTAGAGGGCTGAAGTCTTAGATTTTAATGCTGAGAATAGGGTGCACAAAACCAGTTGTTGATCTGGTCAGTCAAAATATTGCTAGATCTTTGTATCACTCAGATTAACTTTTACAGATTTTACTGTTGGGCTATTACGACCTTGAACTCTCAATCCTCTGTGAAGTCATGTTTTCTACTCTGTTTACTCAGTTCACAAAATGGTAGTTTTCTCTTAAGACTTCTATCCAAAATGCCTGTTTCCTAAAATATTGGTTTTGGGTTTTTTTTCCTGAAGTATTTGAATTATCTGGTTTAGAGGTATTACTATGAACATCTCTGCTGAGAGAAACCTACTGCTACTGAATGATTGATTAGTATTAGAGCTTAAGGCGCTATTTTTGCAATCCACACTTCTTTCAGTGTGAGATATATACACATAAAGTTTCTTTGTAATGTTGCAAAAGACCAGTCTGCAACATGGAAAATGTTTTTTAGCAATGCAGCAGCAGGCATGCTGGGTAGTTTATAAGCTTTTAATGAAACACTGGCAGATATTAGGGTTTTATGGGCTGGAAAACAGTGCAAATCAAAGAGCTTTGCTTACTGTTTATAGCGCTTTTCCCCTGAATCTAACAATATTTATCTCGCTTCTTCCATCTTGCGCTTCGCTCTTCACATATTTACTTTCCCTTTTCACTGATATATTTATAGTCAACCAACTGTTTTGTATGAAATATACATACAGCTACAATATGCCTGTCATTGTGGGCACCCAGTTACCTGGATAAAGCCTGAGATGACTTGTTTCACATCTCTCTTTGTCTTCAGTCTGCCTGTACCCTAACGAGTGTACACACAGCATTTCTGGACATTGTTAATTGTGACTTCCCTGAGGCCATGTAAATGATCCCTAAGGGATACTGTGCTCTCTGCCTGCCTGCTGGCTAATACCTGATCTTACCACCCTTTCAGTAGCAAAACTCTTCTCAGAGCATATCTCCATCAGTATGTTTTTTGAGTCCCATCTGCTAAAATAGTCAGAACGCTTGATGCAGTCATAGTGTAGCTTTCTAAGTAAGGACCTCTGTGTACTCTTACTTACATATGAAGTCCACATTAAAACTAGAAAGAGATTCAGGCCTAAAGACTGCATTGCAGTTTGGCTTGAAAGGATATGGTGAAAAATAAGAGTGATGTGGCACCAACAGTTGTTAGAGTGCCAGTACATCTTCAGTTAAAAAGTCAGCCTGCAAAACTTCTTGAAATATTCTGCCTCCTCTAAATCTGTGTGACATTCCTGACCATCAAGCAAAGACAACCTGGCACTGAGACTTTTCTTCCTCTGCTCTTCACAGAATTCCTTTGTGTGTTTCCCACTCCCATGCAGGTACCTCGTGGAATTTGGCTGCATTTACCCAGAGATCCCCATGTAAGCACCGATACTTTCGCTGGTTTTCTCATCAACAAATCGAGTTCATTTCAGAGTCTCACACAGCTGTGACTAACAGTGCCCTGAGGCAACCCGGAGGAATGAGAGAGTAGGGTTAACTCAGCAGTCCGGGGATCTCGTGGTGACCTTTTGTTATCAGGGAGTGATGGTTTTCAGGGGCTGGATACTGAAACTCAAGTGAGCTCCACTTACTGGTGGTGAGTGTGGGGAAGTACCATCGTTCTTGGGATCAGTGTGGCAGGCTGCCTGGTTTCCCATGGAGAACTGTGAAAGGCTAGGTCTAGGATTACAGTCTATTTCAGCTCTGAAAATATGCATTCTGCAGCTCAGTTAGGAAGAATGGTGATCTTTGATGATAACTCTCTTAGTATTACTAGGAGGTAAAAATAAACATCTGTAAGAAGCAGATGATTTCTAAGTAAGCAGAAGAACTTGTTTTTCAGAGAAGCTACAAGTGGAAAATATAACAATTTTTCTCCTCCATTCTACTATATATACTCAGTAAGTCCAAAATAACTAAATTGCAATATTCCTCTGTACACAGAACTTATGGTTAGTTTGGGTGGACACGAGACTCACGTATGTTACCTCAAATTAAATTATAGGATCCCGTTTTGTGTTTTTCAGAATGATATTTTACATTTCCGTTAGGCTAATGTGGTTTACTCGGGTCATAGTATCAGCACTATTTTATTAAAGCCAAAGTTGTTGAAAAGTTTCCATGGATAACAGTGGGCTGCAGCTCAAGCTGTTTGTGTACAGTGCTGTTGAATTTTGTTGCAAATGTAGCTGTATCAGTATTGCAAAATGAGCTTTTAACATCTGATTTATTTTGGATGACCTAGCATTAGATACCTTGCATTTGTACTTTCAGCCAAATTCTGCTGGGTGTTAATTGCTCTCTTCAACTTGGGTGTACAGCTGTAGATGGACTGTAACTTTTGTCTCTGATCCTGTGGGAAACCAGAAGAGATCAGAGTACAATCAGATCCCAGCCAGCAAATAGCAGCAGAAACACTGCAGAGGGGGAAATGGGGGAACTTTCAGAGAACCACTTTGACTAGACGTAGTTTTGGCTTGTCCTGAGTAGCTGCTTCATCACACTGCCACGTCCCTTGACTTTTTCTTAGCATGGATGTAGCCTACCTCACCCCCTTCCTCCTCCTCTTTTCTTCATCTTTGGCTTGGTTGCCAGAAGCGAGTTTCTTGACATAGTCTGCCCAAAATAATCACACCAATACTATGAGGCTGACAACCTTGTTTGCTCTGTATGATGCACCACTTCTCTTTCTCCTTGCCTTTCTCATCTACTTACTTACACTGTAAACTCTTTGGCAGGGATTTTCTACTCTTTCTACTGATTGATTTCTGGTTACTAT